CCGCCTCGAGCTTGTGAGATAAGGGGGAACGGGTTTGTTCTGATTGATCGGTTTGATTCCCCGACTCTAATATTGCCTTATACGGGTTTGACGGTGTTGCCCTGGTCGGCCGCTCACGCCGCGTGGCAGCCGCGGTTTGATTGTCGCTGGTGTCGCCAGGGGGACTCAAGTGGCGACGGCTGGTCCTCGGTTACGAGGGAGCGACACGTTTCCCCGAGCTTTCCCGTAGTGCGGGGGCGCTGCCCGCGCAATTTCGAATTCAGATGCCGGCGAGTCCTCCCGCCGCTTTACCCTCCCGGAAACTTTCGCGCAGACTTTGTGAGTCCGACGCCGATGCCTGAAGCCCTCGAACTAACCACCTCCACAGCAAAGACCCGAGGGTTCAGCCACTTTGTAAGGTCGATGATGAGGCCTGAAGGCTTCGAACCCACCTTACAATGATGAGGCCTGAAGGCTTCGAACCCACCTCCTATCCCCCAAACCCCTGACGGTCGAAGTTTTATCTCCCGCCGCCATGGCCCTCTCCCCTTGAGGCCTTTTTCCGTCCCGATGCATGACGGCAGTTCATTTTTGCGAAAACCTTTTTGATTTTATTGTTTCGGAGTAATCCGACCCCCACGGGACTTCGCGGCGACAGTTCGACTCCGGGGAAAACCTCTGGCACGAAACGAGGGCCTCCCGTTCCATCCGGGAGACTCAACCCTTACGGCCAAAAATCCTCGGCCACCCCCCTCCTAAAACTCTGATCGGCGACCCCGTACGGGACACCGCGAGGGGGCGTGAGGTTTGCGTATGACAAGCCACTCTCCTAGACTGTAGAGGATTTGTGAATAAACCCTAAACCACATGAATATTGAAAATGATATAGCAATTGTAAAACAGGAAAACTCAACAGAATAGCCATGATTTTGAGTAACCAGTGACTTTTTACGAGCGGCGGGAACCTCTAGTGGAACTCGACATGGGGCTTGAGACTAGGATCTGGGGCTTGGGACTGCGATATGGGGCTCAGGGCCCAGACCTGGGACTGGGGACTGAGATCTGGGACTCAGGACTGAGACCTTGGAACCTGGGATGCGGGACCGGGACCCGGCACCTCAGGATTGAGACCTCGGATTCAGGACTCTGTGGATCCTTTCAAATCCATAGCAATATATTTGAAATGGTTCGCTAAAATCTGTTCGATAACCAAAATTTGTTTGCGACGGGAACCTCTAGTGGAACTCGACATGGGGCTTGAGACTAGGATCTGGGGCTTGGGACTGCGATATGGGGCTCAGGGCCCAGACATGGGACTCGGGACTGAGATCTGGGACTCAGGACTGAGACCTTGGAACCTGGGATTCGGGACCGGGACCCGACACCTCAGGATTGAGACCTGGGACTCAGGACTCTGTGGATCCTTTCAAATCCATAGCAATATATTTGAAATGGTTCGCTAAAATCTGTTCGATAACCAAAATTTGTTTGTCAGCGTAAATTTGTTTGTCAGCGTGCGCCAAAGGATGCGAGCGATGTGTTGTTGTTTCAAGTTTTCACAAAACGTGTGTTTCTCACACTGTCTTGGGGTGAGGGTGACGTTATGAATGTATTGGTGGTTTTCAATATGAAATGAGAGAGGGTTTGATCTCACTATCTTGGGGTGAGGATGACGTCATCTGTGTATTAGCGGTTTTCAACATGAAATGAGAGAGGGTTTGAACCCGCATTCCAACTCAGATTTAACCTCCCTCAACGAGAAGACCACACGACTGAAGGCCTCGCCGCACCACTGTCGAAAATGCGATTTTCTACAGTTCCTCTTCGCCACACCGGCTGTCGAAGTCGTAGACGGGAAGAAAATTTGCAAGTAAGTTGTCAGAGAATACTTCTCGACACCTCCTTCCAAAAGTTGTTGTTGAATCCCCAACCTGCTACTCTGATGCTTTCGACACTCCTCGGCTGCGCAAGGTCGGGATGGACTGATGCTTGTCGTACCCTCAGGCGCGTTCGTCTTTTTCCATCTTGCTTTCACAAGTGCGTGCACTCTACAGTGCTGTGTGGCGAAGGGGGGCCAAACTGTCGAATGGAGGCTGTCGAACTTGTTCTGACAGCCGTCGAATTTTTCGGCCTTTCGACTGAGTACCTGAGTATTAATACTCAGGTACTCAGGCCCTGAGTACCTGAGTATTAACTGGATTGGACAATGGCCCATGACAAGGAATCCAGGGAGCAATGGGGACAAAAAAGGGCAATTGCCAATTGGATAAAAATATTGCGCGATGATGGCGGCGCTGATTGAATCATTGAAACCAATAAAAAAGAAGTCCCACCAAGGCGAGGGAAACACCAATCGGTAGCTTTCAACAAACAACAAGAGAAAATCATTTCAGTTGCTAGGAACTAGTAACCGTCTTCACCCGAATAGAACGGCCGGGCATTATAGTTGTGTATGTAGGGCAACTTTCAGTCCAGATGCAGCTATAATGATGGGGCGTTGTATTCGGGTGACAACGCCACTCCAGAACCCCATGGACGCATAGCAGTCGGCAGACATATACAGAGGAAGCCAGTCTAGAACCCCAGGACAAAAATAAATCACCGGGCTAGCTTAGGCAGTGGGTGAGGGACAGTACATCCTTCCTCCAGGACGTAATCAATGGCCCGTCCACTTGGGCCTCTCAACCATAATGGGCAGTAGCAAGCTACTAGCAACCTGCATGACTGAGTGTGGGAGTGTAGTACTTGTTGTAATCCTTTCTGACTTGCCGGTGGAATAGGAACGGGACTCATGCTCCCTAGAATGGACATGGAGCCAGGACAATTATGCCCCTGTTTACAAAACACAACCAAGAAAAAAAAAAAAAGGAAAGAGAGTGCGGGAAGTTAGTCAAGATCAAAGGTGGCAACGATGCGACAATCGTGCTGAAGAAGGCCACGGGCCAAGAGGTTGAATACAACAATGGGTATGGTGCGACGCCCTTGTACAGGCCAGGGGGTGGGGTGACCCCCCTTGAACAGCCCAGCGGTCGTGGCGGCCCCCTTGTACAGCCGAGAGGGTGCAGCAACCCATTTTAACAGCCCATCGGGTAAAACCACCTTGTACGACCCAGGAGGTGTGGTGACACCCTTGAGAACCCCGAAGGGGTGTGGCAAACCCCCTTGCACAGCCAAAGGTTAAGCACAACCATTTTTTGCAAAGNACCCAGGAGGTGTGGTGACACCCTTGAGAACCCCGAAGGGGTGTGGCAAACCCCCTTGCACAGCCAAAGGTTAAGCACAACCATTTTTTGCAAAGGGCGAGATTACAGAATGGGGCCTTGACGGAAGTTGACGACCCTACCGTCAAGATACCCCTCTCATANAAGGTTAAGCACAACCATTTTTTGCAAAGGGCGAGATTACAGAATGGGGCCTTGACGGAAGTTGACGACCCTACCGTCAAGATACCCCTCTCATACCCCTATAATTGGAAAACTGTTACAGGCGGTCAATCCTAACGGTAGGGTCATCTAGGCCCCCGAGGAGGAGCAATGAATGTTGTCTGTAACACGTCGTCCTTTTTTTTGTTTCCCCCTTATCTTCCTTGCCAGGGTCCCTCACTGAAAGGGGTGATACGGGCATCCCCTGCTCGTGGGGCCTCACGTGAAGGCCCCGTGTATTGGTTTTGGTGGGATGCTGCACCTGCTGGAAATCGGGTCCAGCGTCCCATTTGAACATTTCAAACCTGTTGTCCTATTGTCTCCTATCCCCTATCCATGAAGGTATAGTGTCGATTTACCATGGAAAAGGCGCCAAACTGACACGCGTGGGCCCTACACCACAACTACCTTCTTCACCCGAATACAACGTACGGTCATTATACCTGTATTTGAGGCATCTTTTAGTCTAGATACAGCTAATCGTCAGCTATAATGCCCGTAGTACGTTGTATTCGGGGGAAGAAGGTAAGTTGAACGAACCCAAAAAGAAAGCATACAACGGGCGTACCTTCTTCTCCCGAATACAACGCACGGTAATTATAGCTCTATTTGAGGTATCTTTCAGTCTAAATACAGCTATAATGACCGTAAGTTGTAGTCGGGGGAAGAAGGTAGCTCAGTTTGTACACCCATGAACTGTTGAAATACAGCCCTGAGTTCGAATCCAGACGTAACCAGATGACCAAAACCATTCTACCGGGGAGGGGTCTATTCAATGATGATATCTCAAGGCCATTGCCCTTTCAAAAATACGGAAAAAAACAGCTCTATCATTGTTACCAGCTTCCCATTAACACGCAGAGCTCTCTCTCTCTCTCTCTCTCTCAATGCCAGAAACATATAACCATGGTGAACCCGCAAGGCAGCCACCAACAGCCGCTGCGCTTCCTGTGAAGGATCTAAGACTAAGCTGTCCGCGCATTTGCTAGACATGAGCTTGTAGGTGCTCCCCCCCAGTGCACTCACACACACACAACCACTGACAACAGAACTAGTAAAATACTAAAATGCTGCAGTGAAACATGTAAACCTATAAAAAAAATTCCACAAGGCGAGCACCAAGCAGAAAGACAAAACCACAATCTCACAATCTGCCAAAGTTGGGAAAAGCCCTGAAGGACAGCAGAACCTCTACTGCGGGAAGGGCCCCCCAAGACACCCTGGTTTTGAACCACCAGTCTACGCCTTTCCTCTTGGCGCCGTCAGACTTTTTGATTGAGTAGCCTCGATCCTTGTTAAATGACCAAGTTTAAGAAAGCTCTTCTTTTTTTCTTTCTTTTTCCGGGCTCGTAATTGTTACAGAAATATAAAATTAAACATCCTCGTCTCCGCCACCATGTGTCCCAAAAAACAAAAAGCAGCCTATGGGAACCTGTTTGCATTTCAACACCCTTCATCCATGTACTCAGTCTCTTGTGCTCATTCATATGGAGTATTATGGAATATCCGATTATGTTCATTTTCGCAGTGCCACCATACAGAGCGTGCAATACACATTGGAGAACATGCTCACCACCACAAAAGGGAGTACAGTCGTACCTCACTCGCTATTTCCACCTCATTCCACCCCACCATACCGTACTCCAAATTCTCGGCAATTCTCCATCCTCTGGCCATATCTCGAGTGAACATGTAGGCACCCAAACCTGCACAGTGCACAGAGACATACACACCCCACTCCACCTCTCCTCTCCTCTCCTCTCCTCCCCACCCCTCCTCCCCTTACCCCTGCGGCCTGCCCTTGCCAACCCAAACTCAAAGGAAGACAAATACAAGTGTGCCCCCCTCTCCCCCCACGACCACCACACACACACACACACACACACACACACACACACAGTGTGACAGCTCGTCAGAGAAAACAAACACTGACGCCAACCAAACAAGCAGCAGTCCTAAACAAGCAGAGTGATGGTCGCGGGGTACCGGAAATAGAGCTGTAATTAAACCCACTGGTTAACCTTGGTGAAGCTCTTTGTGGCAGGAATTGAAAACCCGCACAGCAAAGCTGGAAATAGGTGGGCGAATCGCTCCTATCGGATATGCAAGAATTAAAGGTACTAAGCCCTTCGCCTGTCTCTTATACACATCTAGATGTGTATAAGAGACAGGTACTAAGCCCTTCGCTCATGTTAAGCCAATGAAAAGCCATCATGATGGAGTCCAGCTGTCCAAGCGACTTCTTCCGACCTTTCCATTTTGTCCGTGGTACAGTGGTAGTGCTTTCGCATTACATCTTAAAGTTTTGTGTACTAATTCTGCCAACCTTTTGCAATGTTTCAGGGTAGATTCACACTCGTACTTTTGCGGACGCATCGGACTTCAATCACAGTCAGATTCTGTAACACAGAATGACACACAAACCTTACTCGTCTCACCCTTCAGAGTTCAAACCTTACTCAGGCTACACCGTGCGCACAAACAAGCCCAAGAAGGGATTCCAAGCCAAGACTCCCATGAATGATTTAATTTATGCCCGGTGCAATCTGCACTCGTCTTGGTCAGACATCTGATAGTTCGAACACAGTCAAACCAGAGTCAGACGTTCTTCGGGACATCCATTAAAATTGGAAGTGCAACGATACAGAGAGAAGGGTAGATTAGCAAATGGCCCCTGCGCTGTCAAGGATGACACACATAAATCGAGAAATGGTCCAAACCAGAGTCAGACGAGCAATGCGCTGCCTGGCGCGCTCCCCTCACAAAGTGCGCAAAATCGCTGAGGTGGCTCCACTTACACGTGAAATCATCGAGGCACGGCTGCCCCCTCATTCCTGCATCACCTGTCTCAAGGAGCGAGCTGTGCGAAATCGTTAACCCTGCCTCATCCATAAGCCATAAACAAGGGGTGCAAATTCATTAAAGCCGCCTGCTCATTCCCCCATGATGAGGCCTCCATTGATGAGATTCAGAGATTCAGATGATGTTCAGAGTTACGTTAGTCCGTTCTGAATTTAGATGTTTCCCTCTACGAATTTTATTTATTTATTATTATTAGTAGTAGTAGTAGTAGTAGTAGTAGTAGTATCATCAGGGCACAAGCTGTATTTTCCTACCCTATTTTCTTCTCTCAAGACTGTGGCTTTCTCACAATTTCTACCTACTACCTACCCCCTATGAACGCCCCCCGACCACGGTCGCTGCGGTCACGACCGTGATTTGCACTCATAGCCAGAGGGGACGTGTTGAGGGTGGGGGTTGCGGATTGGGGTTGCCGAATCCTGACCCCACCCCCTAGAAAAAACAAAAACGATTTCCGGGGAAGGGGGGGGGTTGGCGGGTGAACAACAATTAAAAAGATACATGTATATATATATGTGAATCGTTATTGATTGATTTCCTAGGCTACCAGAGTGGCCCAGGGTCACTAGCCTGGCTGGGCCAGAAAAAATAATTAAAAAAACAAATATTAAAAATTAAAAAAATACTATTTTAATTTTTTGTTTTAAACTCGGTAAAGAATTTCGATGTGACCCTCAAGCAAAAGTTGTTCAGTTTATTTTTCTGCACAACATAGTGCTTTTGTCGGATTTTTTCGAGTTGATTTGTTTTCGTTTTGTTTTTTGCTGGGACCTTCTCTGGTCCTTCCACCGGCTGGCCACTGGGACCCGGGCGGCCCGGCCGGTAGCCTAGTTGATTTATTGATTGATTGAATCTGTATATCTGATTGACTGATTGATTGATTTTTTGATTGATTAATTTGATTTACTTTTTTTATTTTTATTTTTCTGGATTGATTGATTGATTGGTGGGGGAGGGGTCTCCTAACCTGCCCCACCCCCCACCTCCGCACATACACACACACACAAACACACACACACACACACATGCACGCACGCACGTTCATGCACTTTTCTTTTGAGGGGGGGATCAATCAATCAATCAATCAACCAACCAACCAACCAACCAATCACAATCAATCAAGCACAATCAATCAAGCAATCAGGATGTGTGTGTCAAAAACGGGAAAAAAAAAAAGAAAAGAAAAAACATCTTTGTCTTTTTTTTTCATCATTATCTTTTTTTCCCTTTTATCTTTGCATTCGTTGTTAAAAAAAGAACCAAAGAAACACGTGCACCATGTTTATCCCACCAGCAATCAGAAAAAAGTGAAAAAAAAAAATCCCTTTTTTTATTACGTTTCTTTTTATGAAAATACTTGATTGGAGGTTTTTTTAACCAATTGGAAGCACATTTTTCATGTACAAGCGCATTTTCAACACTTCGAAAACTTATCACTCAAAGCTTTAGATACAGCACAACATATTCGCAAGATGCCGCGTTCGTTGAAACGGTTTTCGCCTTTGCAGTAACAGATGCAGATCCCAGGGCTCGATCCCTAGACCTTACCTCACCCGTGTACAGTATCAAGTCGACCCTTGTGTGTTTTGAACTCATGACCTGTGTTTTGATGGTTAACTGTTGGCTGTCGTAGGCCTGTGTAGGTGTCGGGTCTTGAACCGTAGGTCTGTCGAGTAGGGGTCATAGCTGTGCGAGGTCATAGCTGTTGCAACTCCGAAAGGTCAAGATCGTAGCAGTCCGGAAAGGTCAAGTCCGTAGCTGCTACAGCTCTGAAAGGCCAAGTCCACAGACTTTCGGGAGGTCCGGAAGTGGCCTTTCGAGTGTTGCTCACGTTAGGCCAGAGGCAAGAGGGCAAGTGTGTAGTCCAACTTTGCTTAGTCAGCGGTACCCAGTCCCGGCCTCACTTTGTCCAGTCAGCAAGTACCTTGGGGGGCTGTGTGTTAGTCCACAGTGTGTGAGTGAGTGAGTTGTGTGTGTGCGTGGGATATCCAGGGAGATCCAGTGTGGTGTGCATGTGAACAAGTTGGTGGGAACAGTGTAGGATGGGAGCTGAGTAGGCGCTCAGGCGCCATAGCTAATCTGATGCGAGTTTGTATCCGAACTGTGAGTTTTGTGTGGGCGCCTGGCGCCAGTTGGGATTGTCATCGGTTTGCATGCATGCTGAACAGAGAAGAAGCCAAGTCCAATTGCATCGTTTTCTAATTAAAAAAAAAAAAAAAAAAAAGTTAAATAACACTTCTAAATCCGAAGGAAAAAAATATAGGGTTGTAGGGCTTTTCAAACCCTCAACACCTTGGTCTTTGTTTTCTTTTTTTTTTAATATGACAAATTCAGAAAATTCTCGACCGCGTCCTACAGCCCAGGCATTGGCCGGCAGTCGGGATCCTGACCGCAATCCGAGTTTGACCCCAAGGTCATGACCACGGGGTATACATAGCCTACCCCTATCTACTCCCTAGCCTACCCCTATCTACTCCCTAGTCCAATTGCTTTTCTTTCCTTGAAGCCTATCTCTGCACACAAGTCAGGTGGCCCTCAAAGTAAACAACAATCCTCTGGAAAAAAAAAGGAGAAAAAAAAAAGATAGTAATTACTAATAAGTGACTAATAAGTTCTTGGACTCTCGGGAATCCCAAATTCCAACCAATTGCGAAGTTTGGATCCTGAGGTGTCCCCACATCTTGGCTCTGCTGCCTGCAGACAGTCTGTACGCTTTCTACTGTGCATTGGTTACCACTTGCCCTTATGTTTTGGCGGGATCCATGAAGACCGAATAGCTCACGAGCCTTTTGCGCTCTTTTAATCACTGATCAGTGATCAGTATACTTCAAAGATTTCTTAAAGATTTTTTTTTTTTAATAACAATTATAACAAAGCAGACCAACCTTCAAAATAACGGTTTGATAAGCCAGTTATTGGCCAAAAAAAAAAGAAAAGAAAAGAAAAAAGGCCAGTTGTTAGCTGCTGAAATGCAATCACCCACCGTATTGTGTGTCATTTGCAAGCTCCACCACGTCCTCCTCTGTTTGGAACCGGTACAAGGGCGCAACAGGGCCAAATATCTCCTCACTGAATCGGAAGCCAAACACATCATAAAAACCCACACACAGGGCCAGATATCTCCTCACTGAGTCCAAAGCCAACACATACTAACACCACACACCATCTTCATCATTGTCATAATTATCATCGTCATCACCAATCGCGCCCTGTTGTGCACCCATTGATTGATTGGGTCTCTGCATGTTTTTCTTTCACCTGTTCTGCATTTTTGTTTGGGTTTCGCACCCCCTGCTGTTCTGCGTTTTTGTTTGCGTTTTCCCACCCATTTCTGTTCTGCGTTTTTGTTTGGTTTTGCCACCGCCTGCTGTTTCTGCGTTTTTGTTTGTTTTTTTCCCCATCTCTCACACTTCGTAGTACCTGTTTTCATCGGACCTTATGTGACACCCCAGAAATAGAGTTGTGGGGAGTCCCTGCTCTCTGCCATCAGTTCGTGACGGCGAGCCGTGTGTGCACGTGCAGGATTTGAACACGTGACCTGTTGTGAGCTTTTCTTTTTTTTTTTTTTTTTTTTTTTTAACCATGTACCACACCCTGATGATGAATGTATACAAGCTATGTTTTCGGTCCGGTGCAGCCAAAATGAGGGTGCATCGTCTTCGTTGGAAGACGGTAGGCTGCTCCACATGTGTGTCCAATGAGCCTCAATGTGTGCAACCTTCAGGAGTGGATGTGGGTCTCTCTCTCCCAAAACGACCTACCATTACTCCATTCCGTTTTTTGTTAAAGAAAAGTTTGAAAAAAAAGAAAAAGAAAAAAAAAAGTATTCTTCTCTCAATTATACTCAAGGCTCACGCTATCTAAGTACATGTCTAAGCACAGCAACCCATGTCAAAGCGAAGCCAAAATCCAGTACACCCAGGAGCTAACCCCTATCGAGCAATGGCAGGGCCGAAGGCCCTCCGAGAGAACCCAGGATCCTACCAAGGCCGACCGGGGGGGTGGGGCAGGCCAGACAACTATCTCAGCTGATGAGCACCAAGCACGCCGCAGGCGGCTGTGGGGTATTGAACCCACGACCTCCTGAATGCCACTTGCATGCAACACCAGCTGAGATATCCATTCCTCATTTTGAGGGACTAGTGGGGGCAGAAAAAAAGAGGCAGGAACTAAGCCAGGACCCATCACAAATACGCCGTCCTCTCCTATCAGGCTCAGAGCTGAAGATACAGGATCCATCACAAAAAGAGGGGCAGTAAACCACCAGTACATCCGAAGGAGGAGATTGAGCCTCTCCAAAGAAATAGCAGGCCACGAATTGCTGATTCAATTTATCGACGGCTAGTTCATAGCCTCCAAATTCTTAGGAGAGGCTCAATCTGCTTTTTCGGATGAGCTGGTGGTTTAAGGCCAGGACCCATCACAAAGAAGCCGTCCTCCTATACACTGCCAGAAGTGGGGCCTGTATAAAGCTAAAGGATCAATGACAAAGAACCCGCAAGGACGCTGAATCTACGTCGAGTCCTCAGTGCTCCACGTTGAGCCCTCAGTGCTATACGTCGAGTCCTCCGTGCTATACGTTGAGTCCTCCGAGCTCTACGTTGAGTCCTCCCTCCTCAGTGCTCTATGTTGAGTCCTCAGTGCTATATGTCGAGTCCTCAGTGCTATATGTTGAATCCTAGGTGCTCTATGTTGAATCCTCGGAGCTCTACGTCGATTCCTCAGTGCTCCACGTTGAGTCCTCAGTGCTATACGTTGAGTACTCAGTGCTATACGTTGAGTACTCCGTGCTCTACGTTGAGTCCTCATTCCTCAGTGCTCTATGTTGAAACCTCAGTGCTATATATTGAAACATCGGTGCTTGCTGAATCCTCGGTGCTCTACGTCGATTCCTCAGTGCTCCACGTTGAGTCATCGGTGCTATATGTTGAGTCCTCCGTGCTCTATGTTGAGTCCTCATTCATCAGTGCTCTATGTTGAATCCTCATATGCTATATGTTGAGTCCTCAGTGCTCTATGTCGAAATCTCAGTGCTCTATGTTGAGTCCTCAGTGCTATTCGTCGAGTCCTCAGTGCTATACTTTTGAGTCCTCACTCCTCAGTGCTTTATGTCGAAACCTCAGTGCTCTGTGCTCAAGACTCCCTCAAGACTTAAAATACAGTACTTGAAGAGAACTCTTCCTTCCAAGTTCCAATACCACCATCCCCCTTCCCCCATTGTCTCCCACACCCTTCCTTCTAAACAAGATTGAATATAGTATCAACAGCTATAGCGGTCTTACTTGTTTGTCTATCTCCATTAGTAATTTCTCGCCTACCACGACCTATTGGAACAAGGCTATCCACCGCTTTTAATCCTCCTGTTTGCATTAGTTCATGCCCAGATCTACGTGAAACAATTCCCGGAGCCCAGAGATTTGACTTCTACATGCGTTCACTCTTCAGCGTGGTGGATGCAACTTCTCAATGGAATATCTGATTCGCACCTGAAAAGGCCCATACTGTTGTTGTTGTCCGCCAACACCGTTGGCTCATAGAAGGTCCCCCCGAGGGAATGCCGTTTTCCGCCTGTGAGAACTTTAGCCCCCTGTGAAGCACAAGCAACGACGGACCAACCTTTTCAGATCATTTTAACCACCACCATCATCATCATTATCACTACCACCACCGCCACCACCACCACTGTCATTGTCATTGTCATCATCGTCAGCCGCAGCAACATCAATATTGCCATTATTGTTATGCTCAGCAGCGGCAGAGTTTCCGTTAGCATAATAAAGATCACCATCACAATTATTGTCGCTGTCATCCTCCTCGTCCTCATCGCGATCCTCCCCATGATAAAGAACGACAGGACGTGCAGCCAAAACCGCGTGTCAAACCAACAACAACTTGCCAACCTGTATGTGAACAGCTCCAACTAGGGTGAATCAGGTGATATCATGAGAATGAACAGTGCCCCCTGCACACAGCTGCAAACACATAGGTTAATTATCAAACATTGATGGCTGTTTTGTTATATGAACTCCTCAAAGTGACTACGACAGCAATTACAGAAAATTTGAACATGCAGCAATTTCCAGCGCTGGATCTAGGAAAAATTGCTTCAGTCTCAGGCTGGCATGCAAGGATAGCCTTTCAGGGTTTAGGGTTTAGCCATGACGGTCTACCCCCCGGTGGGGTGGGGGACGAACAGCCTGCAGGCACATATCATTGAAGCGGCAGAGATCAAGGTACATGAGACAGGATCACTACCGCCTTCCCTCGAATAGAACGTACACCGTAAGGTCATTATGCCTGTGTTTTGGCCCAACTTTCAGTCCATTGGCAGAAACAGCGATAATGACCATATGGATCTATTCGGGAAAGACATAGGTCACGAAGCGATCCTAATCGGTAGGCAAAAGATTCTAAGGGAGTCTCCTCTCAAAATATGGTCTAACTTTTGATTAATCATTAAATCATCACTGTCCATTTATCACCATGATGATGACCCTGATCATCGGCACTCACCTTGGCAACGGCATCCTGGACAAGCCTCTCCACCTGCAATGCCATCCAACCCAACAATAAGTTCACAAATGAATGCCACAACATTCACTGTCCCCTCCCCTCCCCTCCCCTCCCTCCCCTCCCTCCCCTCCCTCCCCTCCTCTCCCATCCCTTCAACACTCTCCACACCATATGTGGGCGCCAGGAAGACAGACGATGCAACACAAGGTGATTCATTGTTCTGCCTTGAACGAGACGCTCACGGAACAGCAGAGCAAAGGAAAACATCAAAAGTACACAAGAACAGATTAGGGTTAGGGTCCTTTAGGGTTTTGGGGGAACTTAGAAAATGTTTTGTTTGAATGTTTTCGGTCCCACAGAGACCAAGAGTACGGCCACTCATCCATCCTACCTACCGTCTTCCACCGAAGATGACGCACATTCCTGATGAATGTATACAAGCTATATTTCCGGTCCAACGCGAGTGACAATGAGGGTGACTACGTTTCGGGGGGGAAGAGTAGCCAGCAACTGATCTGCATGGGATCCTCACGGACTTTACACATGGAAGCCTCTGGGGAAAAAAGCAGGGGAACTTGCCCACCCGGCAAGCGTCAATTGATAAACGACACATACTTCACTACTTAGGATTACTGTGTAACTACCCAGGAAGGCAGGCTGTTTGTCCGGGCACCCTGGCACCCAACTTGTGCCCAGATACACGCCGGGGTGCCCGGTCTGGCATGGACCCCGGGCAGCCCCAGCACCGCCCATCACCCCCCCCCCCCCCCCCAAAAAAAAAAAAAAAAATCAAGGGAAAAAAAGCATGGTAACCGCGGACCCGGACACTGGTCACTTCCAGACTGTACTCCGGACAAGGGTCCGGACCGGTCCGGACTGTCCGGTGGCCCGGACACCACCGGACCCCAACAGTCCGGACCAATACCAGGGGTACAAAATGTCAGGACCAAATTAAAAAATAAAAATAAAAATAAAATAAACATTGGGGGTGGGGGGGGTGTTGCGAATCACTCACCTGCTTTGCACTTTGTAGTTCAGGCAGCAGAGCACCTGTCTTGCAGCAAATCAACAAGCGCATTCAACTAGAAGACATGCAGAGTTGCAAACAGTGCAAAGCGGGCACAAGACTAAAGAAACAGAGAAAAACAAAAAATTGGGTAACTAACTTGGTTTGAACTTTAAAGAGTCTTCAGACTGGCAGCACTGTCAGTGCTCTCTCTCTCTCTGGCGCGCGTGCGCGCGTCAGTGGGATGTCTTGTGCAGTTTAGACAGGAGGTCTGATTCAGAGTCGCCATCCTTCGACGAACTGCCATCTTTCTCATCACTTTCACTTTCGTCCTCCTTGCCACTGCCATCAGTCCCGTTGCTGCTGCCACTCCCCTCGTGACCATCTTTCTCGTCATCTTCGCTTTCATCCTCCTAGAGTCCTTGCCACTTCCATCAGTCCCATCGCTGTCGCCACTCCTGTCATGACCATCGCCACTGCCATCACTTTCGTAGCTTCCGCCATCATTTTCATCACCACCACCACCACTTTCATCGCTGCTTGTCGCTTTTCGCGCTGCTTCCTCCACCTCTTGCACGGGCTCCTTCTGCGGTTGTCCCCGCTCGCCTACACATTCCGGTGCAGGACCTCCTGCCCAATTGCCACCTTCCACGTCCCCAACCTCCTCATCATCTGTGCCCCATACAGCCTCCTCCTCTTGCACGGGCTCTTTTTGTGGTCGTCCTCACTTTCTTGTGCCACGTGCGGGTGCTGGACCTCCTGCCAAATTGCCGCCCTCCACGCCCTCAACCTCCACATCACTTGTTCCCCCTTGAGTTGCAGCCTCCTTACGAGGTCTTCCTCTCCCTCGTTTGATCGGGATCGAGGAAGGTGCACATGCAATTGCCCTCGCAGCTTTGAATTTGTGGGCATGCTCAACGGTCATGGTCTCGAGCTCAAGCAGATTGCTGCGCAACCCATGACGTTGGATTGTGACCTCCTCTGGAGCAGGCGTTCGTGGTGCTTGGAATGGGAATGTCGCCGTCGTCGTCATCGTCGGAGCCAGAGTCATCATTCCCACCTGCATCACAAACCAGCTCTGTTCTGTGCAGCCTGGCACGCCACTCCGCCAACTGCAATCGTGCATCGAACTGCATCCGCTGCCATCTCATCCCATGTGAGATCTTGCACCGGTTCGTCCACTTCCCATTTCCTAGAATCTTTATCAGCCTTCGGCCTCTTGATCAAGGCATCCAACAAACGCTGGTTCCATTTGTGGAAACTTGAAAACCAGTGTGCTAAGCTTGATGGCGCCGAGGTTGTTACCGAGAAGGTTATGAATTCGTTCAAACAAGCTTCAGTTCCTCTGACAATAAGAGGAGGAGGATGCTTGTCCAAGCAGACGAACCGCTTGCGTCTTGAGGATGGACATGTCACTGCACCACTTCCTCCGCCACCTCATCGGCTGCATCAGACGGGCGTGTGTCCTTGCGTCTTCCCAATTGTACCTCTCGGTGCCCTTGATCCAAGAACAAACCTCTGCGTCGACCTCAACATACAAAGACTCCTTCGCACCAAGAGTAAACCGACGTCCAAAACCCATCAGCAACCTCTGCATTTGTTTCTGGTCACGACGCTCTGTACTCGGGTCCGTGAACAGTGCAGCACAATGCAGCGGTGATGCATTTGCATTCCAGTGGTGCATGACGATCTCCTTGAGTTCCTCCTCCGCTTGGGCAAAATGTGTGCTCTTCCTTAATTTCTCCACTGCGCTGTCCGTATGGGCGTAGCAGGTGCTTGGATGTCTGAATCACCTTCTCGACATCTGCCCAGAAGTTGTTGTCCAAGATTGAATGTGTCGCCTTCACGAACAGTTGGCTCTACGAAGTGTGCACGATCTCTGGTTGTCAATCATCATCTGTCACACACGCACGCAGCGGCACATACAGCCCCTGCAAGCTCGACAACATGATGGAAGTTGGTGGCAAATCGCGTCGCACCCGGTTTTGACACGACACCGCCATTGGACTAGTGGATCAGGAGGTCCCGCACCCACAAATGGTTCGTAAAGAACTTCGCAACCTCCGATGCCCTTTTTATAAGTGCGCCAACCCACCCGATCTTCGTGAAAGACTCAAACATCAAGTTGAGGGAGTGTGTTGTGCACGGCACAGAGAAGATGTGCGGGTAATCTGCTTCAATCATTCGCCCCGCAGTTGCACAAACAGCAGCTGCTGAGCAGCATTGTCCATAATGACCCCCACCACTGCCTCCACACCTATCTCAAAGTCCTCTATTGCCCTCTTCAAAATGGTGTAGTACGCTGAGGCGTTGTCGTTCCGTCGTGACATACACAGTGTCACACACTTCTCCAAAAGCCCTTAGGGAAGGAGACCATCACATTGATGTGCGGTCTCTGTTGGCGATCTGTCCAACCAACAAACTGCAACATGCAGCCCGTGGTTGGCCGCTCCTATCGCAACTCCTCCACTCTTCCCAACACTACCCTTGTTACTCCTCTTCGTCCTTGCATTTTCGAAACGTACCTAAAGCCTTTCGACGCATTCATCAACGAGTGGACCATTTCGTACGAGTATTTGCTCTTCATCATGTTGAACACGATGCATTCTGTCGTCATCCAGTCGTCTAGTGTCGCTGGGTTTGCTCATGTGCCGTAATGACAGCGGCGCTGTCCGCGATCGTCGTCTGACGGAGCCATGCCACAGACCCTGATGGATCCACAAGTACTTCTGCCACTCCCCGAATTCGTCTAATGGAGTTCCACTGCAAACCCCAATGCATCCAGAACTACTTCCAACTTCCGTAGAGCATTCTCATCCTCTGATGATTGCTCCGTTTCACCCCGTCTCGTGATGGACCCCAACTCGAACCTGGCATCGAACCTCCCCTTCTCCCTCCTCAAGTACTCTTTTGGTGCAATACCTCTCAAGTGTTCGACGTCGCATCTCGACACCTTGAGGAAATGTTCCCTTGCCCTGCTGGCTGTTCTTCACGGACTGGCTACCGTTTTTAGTCATTCTGCAAGCAGACAAAGAAACCGAAAACAAAAACAGTTGTTAAAGTCAGTTCACTTCCTAACCCTCAATATTCTCCCTCCTTCACTCTCTATCCCCATCCTCTCCTT